TTTATCTTTAAAATGATGAAAAATCATTTTTTATGAATTAAAAAGCATAACATATTTCGGTGAAGTATGGTTTAGGATTGATAACTTTCAAATTTTGTTACCAAATAAAACAAAGTAGTGTAAATCAGCGGAAAATGCATTCTACATAACAACTTAAAATATTTTTACTAATGTTTAACAATGCATTTGGGATTAATATTATTTTAATTCAAAAAACAAATAATAATAAAATACAGCTCACTTTAAAAAGACATCTTCCATTGTTGTTACAGTAATTCCACAAGAATTTACACCAAGTTTCTCTTTACCGTTTTCCAGTTCTTCGAACATTTCTCCCAAAACAACTCCAGAATTGGATGGTAGGTTATAAGTGATTTCGTTTTCCAGTTCTTTTGTTACTTTTATTTCTGGAAGATACCTTGTCAACATATCATTGATTTGTTCCACTTTAAAATCGGGATTTTTTACCATGTGTAAATGATATCCAGTTCCTAAATTCAAAAATAGAATAATTGATGTAAATTTTTATTAAGTAGCTACTATAGTCACAATAATGCATTGAAGATACCATTAATAAGTAATGAATGTGAGAACCGTGAAAGATTACCATCCTGTTATTGCCACCAATGATGCATAGTTACATTTGGTAAATAAAATTGAAGTAAATTGAAATATTAAAAAAAGTATAATACTAAAAAACTAGATTAATGAAGAAAAAGTAGATACTGAGAAAACAAGTTTATTACCGCCCACTTAAATTGATGAGTATCGGAGAAAATTGTTGATTATAGTTCTACTATTGTTAGTAATAGCATTATAGAATGAATTATGTCAAATGATACTGAATGATAATAAGCTAGTTATAGGTAATATAAAAGAGATTATTACCAAACTTTTTCTTTAAAAATATGGGTGATCCACAGCACTGTACTTCTCCTTCGGCCATGATGGCTATTCGATCTCCTAAAATATCTGCCTCTTCCATGTAGTGTGTGGTCAGTATGATTGTACGCTCTTGTCTAATATTCAACAAGGAATCCCAAACACTGCGTCTTGCTTCGACGTCCATTCCTGATGTTGGTTCATCCAGAAACAAAACCTTAAAAAATGAAAGCAAAATTTTAGTAAGGGAAATTTTCGTAAGGAATTGTATTTGGGTCGGTTGCTGACGTCGCACTATAGATACACTAATGGGCTATTAGCAATGGTCTGCTATTCATCTTTAATGAAAGTCCGTAGATAATAATGTCGCATGCGCACACTGCACTACCACGATTTAGAACCGGAGGACAGAAGGTATTTGCAATTACTATTTAGATATTTTGCAAGAGAGAATTCTCGGAATTTTTTCGCTCTAAAACCGCCAAGGACATTACATTAGTGTGGAATCTGAACCACAAAAACAAAATCGGACAAAGTGCAGTCCAATCAGACACCCAGCCCTTAGAACAGAGAATCGAAACCGGCTGAGGTTGTGGTGTGCTGAAGATTAAACTCCCCTCACCACCGTGGTAACAACTAATTTATGCTAAATTATGCGTGGTAACAAGTAATTATGCAAGCAATTTATGTAAATTATGCTAAGGTTAATTAAAAATGCATATATAATTAAAATACTTTTAATGCATATACATGATGCTTGGGTAGAATGCCAAAAGGTATCTGAATTCTTGACGCTGGGCTTGAATACCGGTGATTCTTATGTTGCGTTCGGCCCGCACTGATCACAATACTATCACAAAATGTCAGAAGACAGATCATAAGTTAGAGTCTTATTGTTGTCGATTTAACCCTGTAATTTTCTAGTTTTCCAATAAATGTTGGGTGACTTAGTTTCTCTCTATATTGAAAAATCGTAAAATCCACCTCCACCGCTGTTTTTGGGTTTAAACTTAATGTTACATTTTATTTTAATAATTAAAAACTATAAGGCCGAGAAGCTTGGAACTTGTTAGGTATGTACATAAATGTACAGAGCGTACAATGGAATAAAAATCTTTGCATTTCACTATTAGTTCAAAATAATTCAATGCTAAGCTTGTAGGGAAAAAAACCATGTGGATTACTGTGAAGGCCGTAGGAATGTAACTGCAGTGTTGAAATTTGGCATGCATTGTAAGTTTATTATTATATTTGTGAATGAAAATGAAAATTGGCTCGAATGTATGTTGTTAATGAAAAACAGCTACTAAATCCTCCATCTACACTGGTGGACAAAATTAAGAGATGGAAGACATTTTACCAAATATCTCAAAAAATACTGAATATAAATAAATGAAATTTGGTATGGATATAGCTTATTCCATGATAATAAAGTATGCAAAACAAAAATGAAAGTGCCATTCACTGGCAAGACCTATTGCTAATAAATCCAATGTAATCTGAACTTAAGGATAAAAGATGACAATAAAAGTGAGGCTTGTACAGAGTTTGTTGCCTCTAGTATGGTGTATGGTCACCCCTGACAGACAGACAGCATGCACAACGAGTATGCATGCTGTTAATAAGGGAGTTAATGAGAACTTGTGGAAGACTCTCCCATTCTTCCACCAGAGCAATTTGTAACTCCAGAATGGCTCTGGGGGGAGGTTGGCGCATCGCAATAG